GTCTCGGGGGCCTCGAGTGGAGTTCGGATGATTATCGGATCGAAAATGTAACTTAGAGCATTGATGAAGCTGGGAGCCTTCTGGTGTGATCGCACCTGCGTGGGGATTGGCCGCAGGTGCGGCTGATGTAGCGCAGAAGCAGAGCTGGGCTGGGCTGGCCTGGGTGACGCGGGTACGAGGGGTCTTCCGCATCTGCGAGCCCGCAGGTGCGAGCAAGGCTCCACAGATGCGGAGAAGGGGAGAGTAGGTTGTCTTCGCAGGAGCGCTTCCGTAGGTGCGGATCTTGGAGCGCAGGTGCGGACCCTGTGGACTTAAGTGGCTTCCGCAGAAGCGAAACTCTTATCGCAAAAGTGATTCCGCAGGTGCGGATATTTGGCCCGCACTTGCGAAGGCACTAGGCAGAACATTAAATTCGAAGGTTTCGTGAGTTCTCTCATTTTGGACTTTGCAAACTCGGTCTAAGGCAATATTTGAGAGGATTTTCGAGGGGTTTCTTGAGGTATGTCACTTATGATCATTTTTATTCAATGATCTTGTTTCCCCATTGAATTTCCCATCTAGTTTGTGCATTTTTGAGGTAGAATTTGGGAGTTTGAGGCTATGGATTTGGAGAGTTTGATTTGGAGAGATTAATTTGGAGATTTGAGTGGTGATTTGGTATCGAAATTTGGTAAATTTGGTATGGTTGGACTCGTGGTTGAATGGGCTTTCGGATTTTATGACTTTTATTGGATTCCGAGATGTGGGCCCGGGGGTCGGTTTTAAATTGACTTTTTTGACTTTTGATTAACAATTTAGTATTTTCTTATGGACTTGATTCCTTTAGCCCGTGTTGATTATATCGAAATATCTGTGGCTAGATTCGAGGCATTCGGAGGCCAATTCGCTAGGCAAGGTCTTGTTAGCAGAGTGATTCGAATTGCTTGAGGTAAGTATCGTATTTAAACTCGGTTGAGGCACCAGCTGCCTGAATTGTTGTGATAACCACGTGCTTTGGGATGCGCATCTACGTGGGGATGATCCCATGTGCGGGCACCGGGATTATATATTCATGTTTGGGTTATGCTCGGGCTCTTATAAGCCGAGAAATGACTGTTAAGCTTTAAACTTGGATATCTCACTTGTTGCAACAGTTTATGTGATCTAGTAGAGCCTTGATAAGGTAACGTAGAGGTTTAACCCCTAAACGAACTTAATAAATGCTTTCCATTGATGAAATTGCCTATTTGAGCTACGATAGAACACTTTGCACATGCCTACACTTTAGCATGTTATTTACACCAGTCCAGGGACATGAGAATTTTATTTCATTCATCAAATACCTGTATACTTGTTTTATTGCTTCTGCATGATATTGTTGGATTGGAGTCTGCGGCTATGTCTGTATACTTGTTTTATTGCTTATGTATGATATTGTTAAGCTTCTCTTACCTTGCCTTATTTATTTAAGCTTAAATAAGGTATATGATGACATTTTCATTTTCTTGTTACCCAGGAAGGTACTTACAAAAATCATAGCATTATGTAGGAATTTCCTATGGTATGCGAAGGTGGAATCTATAAAGAGTTCATCGGTGGCTTGGGACTCGGTATGCAAACCCAAGAAGGAAGGAGGAATGGGGATCACTGAATATGTAACTTGGAATGATGCAGCAATTACAAATATATTTGGAACATAGCCCGAAAATCAGAAATAATCTCTGGGTAAAATGGGTTAGTCACATACTTGTAACTTGTAAAGGAATGACTAGTGGCAGTATGAGCACCCGCAAGACTGCTGCAAGTACTAAAAAAAGATGTAGATTATATTTTTGTCATTTTTGGACTAGACTAGAGATGGAGGCCTTACCTAGTAGGTACTCCTAATGTTAGGATCGGAAACCCGGGTAATGCGGAATTTTGCCAAACAACAGTATAATGACAATAACAAAGACAATTGAAGTTGATAACAACGACAATTAAAACATATAAAGAAGACACCAATTTAACGTGGTTCGGTCAAAGTGACCTACGTCCACAAGCGGAGAGAAGCAATTTTACTATACTAATAAGAGTACAAAATAGAGTATAAAATTAGAGTAAATACTCTAATTTATCCCAAATACCCTAAGGGAATAACCTCACAAGATCACTCCAAAGAAAGGGTTCACACAAGTGCTTCCCAATACTTAACTCTCATACAAAACACTCTTAATAAAGGAAGAAACAAGAAATGAAGACTCAAGTCTTGTTGGTGTGTCTAAAATGAACTAATGACCTTCCCTTTTATAGGCAAAAAAGTCTTGGCCTCTTAGGTGTAAAAGAAGAGATACAACTTGTGCAAATGATGTCCAACACACAATGCAATATTTTTGGGTCCCAAAAAATATTGCCAACAAAGTCTACACTTTGCAAAGATACTTATACTTATGTGAGATGGACTCCATTAGCCAAAATATTGGCCATAATTACAAATCTCCACCTTGTCCTAATTTTGGCTGATATAGTAAATTTTCTCCACCTTCTCCGCAAAAGCCCCAATGGGCATATGTCAAAATTTAATGCCATCAAAATCAGACAAGTTGTCTGATACCGAAACTAAGGCCTATAACAGTGGATCCCAATAAAGTAGACAACGAATCAGATCTGTGTGCTTTCATGATCACAAGAGCACCATGAGAAACTTTCATAACTCCACCTTCACCTGTATACTTGCACCCAAGAGATTCTAGAGTGCCCAAAGAGATAAAATTTTTCTTCAAGTCAGGAACATGTCTAACATCAGTGAGAATTCTCACCATACCATCGTGCATTTTGATTCAGACTGTACATTTTCCAAAAACTTTGCAGGCAGCATTGTTGTCCATCAAGACAACTCCACCTCCAATAGATTCATATGTGGTAAATAAATACCGATTGTGACACATATGATAAGAACAACCCGAATCTAAAATTCACTCATTGTTAGATTTGAAACTATTATTAGTTGCTAAAAAAATAATTCCCTCAGTCTCATCAGCAGCTACACTTGCTTCTGCAGTGTCAGTATTTTTGTGCTCATTTTTCCTTTCTTTATGCTTTTCTTTATTTTTTAATTTAAAGTATTCAGAAATAATGTGACCTTTCTTATGACAATATTCGCACATGACATTTCTGTATCTGGATTTTGACCTTGATTTAGGTTTCTCACTACTTGAATCTTTCTTATTGGATCTACCTCTTATGAATAAGCCTTCCCCTTGGTTCCTACTAGTTTTCCCAGTAATGTCTCTATCTATTTGTTCTTTTGATTTCAAAATAGATTTGATATCTTTATAAGAGATATTATCCTTTCCATAAAGTATAGTATCTCTTATATGTTTAAACGACTGGGGTAAGGAAACAAGCAGTAACACAGCTTGATCCTCATCTTTGATTTCAGCATCTATGTTACTTAAATCCATAAGAAGAGAATCAAAAGTATCAAGATGAGTAAGTATAGAGGTACCTTCAGCCATACAAAAAGTGTAGCGTTTTTGCTTTAGGTAAAGCATGTTTTCTACTGTTCTTTTCATATATAAGGTTTTAAATTTTTTCCACATGCCTTTAGCTGTGATTTCTACAGAAACTTCACGTAAAACCTCATTTGAGAAATTTCAAATAATACCTGCTTTTGCCTTTTTGTCTATGACGGCAAACTCCTCGTCCGTCATTTTATCCGGCATCTTCTCATTTCCTTACAGTGCCAAATCTAAGCCATCCTGAATTAGGATAGCTTCCATCTTTAATTGCCACATTCTGAAGTTTGCACTTCGATCAAATTTCTCAACATAAGACTTTGTTAGAGTCATTTTGGCTATTTAAACTAACCCGGTGCTGATACCAATTTGTTAGGATCGGGAACCCGGGTGGTGCGGAATTTAACCAAACAACGGTATAATGACAATAACAAAGACAATTGAAGTTGATAACAACGACAATTAAAGCATATAAAGAAGACACCAATTTAACGTGGTTCGGTCAAAGTGACCTACATCCACAAGCAGAAAGGAGCAATTTTACTATACCAATAAGAGTACAAAAGAGAGTACAAAATTAGAGTAAATACTCTAATTTATCCCAAATACCCTAAGAGAATAACCTCACAAGATCACTCCAAAGAAAGGGTTCACACAAGTGCTTCCCAACACTTAACTCTCATACAAAATACTCTTAATAAAGGAAGAAACAAGAAATGAAGACTCAAGTCTTGTTGGTGTGTCTAAAATGAACTAATGACCTTCCCTTTTATAGGCAAAAAAGTCTTGGCCTCTTAGGTGTAAAAGAAGAGATACAACTTGTGTAAATGATATCCAACACACAATGCAATATTTTTGGGTCCCAAAAAATATTGCCAACAAAGTCTACACTTTGCAAAGATACTTATACTTATGTGAGATGGACTCCATTAGCCAAAATATTGACCATAATTACACCTAATCTAGCAAATCTTGTTATAGTCCTATATTAATTTTATGTGCTTCTTCTTCTCCTTTTTTTGTTGAGGTAAGAGCAAAATGGAATAGAAGGAAAGTGCAAATGAAATGACACGAAGTAACTCCGACACTACAAAATAACTTGAATTACCAACAAAAATATTGAGTCTTATGAATCAATAAATATCAATACCCTTCACCCTGTCCATGAATACAAGATATGGCCTAATGATGAGTGCACATCAAGAAGTTTAACTCTAGTCAATGTATTAACTGATAGCAATTTTATTCCCTGTGGGATTGAATTTTCGTGCAAATAAGCATAGGATAGCTAGTCAAGAGGCCGTATACTTAACATCAATCCAATAGTAAGAAATTCTGGCAACTACGAAATCTATAACAACTTCCATGTACAGACGCTTTGTCAGTTAATTTTTTTTATATAACTTCAATTTAATAATTCAGAAAAAAGTTTAAAAGGCTCAAGAAGCAACATTGATGATTAAATCTAAGTATATGTCGGAGATGTATTCAATGAAAAATAATATACATCCATCAAGAAAAGAAGGGACATGAAATAACTTCGTCCAAGAAAAACAATTCCAATCCTTGAAATTCGAAAAGTATTTAAACTATGACTATTATTTATTCATATATATTATCAAAAAGATCGTCAAATCGATCCTTATACTATTTAGGATGCGGTAGGAGTTTATTTTTATCAAACATTCTGCACTCGTCACCAGTTTCTTGAACATATACTATGATGTTCACCATATATGACAGCGTAAATAAAAAAAATGTGTTCGCAATATATGAAGCTTCTAAGTAGTGAAGAAGCCAGAAATCCAAGGTGGTAATAACTTGTCTTCCTTCTCATAATACGATAAGAGCTTGTCTCTTAATATTTGAACGTTAATTGGTAAAGTTCCTTGTGCCTGTTCAATATAATAAAATAAAGTAAGATAAACAAAGTTTGCGCAATATATTAATAGTAATATAGATATTTTGAAGTGCACAATTTTGATTAGCAAATATCTCTAGACAAACTTATGAGATTATCTAGTTCTATAGTAATATCTTTGAACCTCAAAAACCTTATAGATGGAGAAAAGTATGAGAGTGAAATTTATATTAATACCTGAAAATGCAAATTGTAGAAAACTCTATCTCCCAAAGTTTCAAAAGAAGATGCATTTAGTAGGAGAAGTCCTTCGTCCTCTAATTCTGATACAGCTTCAGCAAACGAACTCTTATTGATCTTCAAAATAGATATATGAATTATGACTTCTCTATTTCCCACTTGATTTGCTGAGATAACTGATAAAGAACTCTGAATTCCTCCTCTTATTGTTTGCTTATTAAAATCAGCAGAATATTCTTTCTTAGGGATAGATCTTAATGTGAGATCTTCTTTCTTCTGTGTCAATCTTTCCACGTCTTTCTTTAAATCTGGTATGTACTTTATCACTCTTGCTACTGTGGCTGGAAAGCTTAATTTTTTCTGTGAAAATTTCCAAATTTAAATTTTACATGTTAGTATAACTGTGTTCATAAACAGAAAAACAGAAAAGCAGAATTTAAAACGGAAAATGCAAAAATAAATTCCGAGCCAAGAGTTTTCTCATATGTACCATTAAGGAAATTAATTCTATATGTCGCCCAAGGTTATGGATTAATTTATAAAATTATTCTGTAATAGCGGCATTTCAAATTATAGAAGCGAAATCAAATGGCGGAGCAACTCACACATTACACTTATGTTTGTTTTTAGAAAAACAATGCAAAGAAGGAAGAAATTTCAGAATTTTTTTAGTGTATGAAAAAATTAGGCAAAGCCTCTCTATTTATAGCTAACGTGAATCACATTATTATTTTGCTAAGAAGATAATATCAATCTCGTAAATTTGTATTATTTGCGAAGTTCGCAAATTATTTTGATCAAATTTGTTTACTACCTCAACAAAAATGAAAAAAAAGAATCAAAGGAACGTAAAAATTAAGAATTATACCGTATGATCAGTAGCTGGAAGCAAAGAACGAAGAGAAGAACACAAGCTATTAAAAACTTTTCTGCGATCACGTTCACTTGCATTGTGATTAAGCTTCTTCACCGTTCCATCTAAATGATCACGATCAAAATTCTTGAATTCACTGTGTACGATACTTGGCTGAGATGATGAATAATGAACAGGAATAATATTAATACCTCTTGAAACTGGAGCTTCTATAGTGTTTACTTCTTGGTTTTTGGGATCTGCCAAACACACGCCAAAGTTAGAAAACAAAGGAGAAGAAACTGCCATCATTATTTTTGAAGGTCTTTACAGTTGGACTGTATTGTGACAATCATAGAACGTGTATTTATAAGAGGAGTCTAGGATTAAACTTATACTATATCTTATGTAAGCATGTACAAACCGAACCGGAAAATCGCACCAAACCGAAAAGTCAAACCAACCGANAATATTTGGGATTCTCTTACGGGATATAATATTTAATAAAATATGAAGTGCTCCATATTTATTAGCCTTAAATAATGGGTTGTATGATCAATTTTTTATCAAGTTTTACTGAAATGTATCAATCTCTTTGTTCTTCCATATTCATATGTCAACATCTATTAAATTCTTATATTTTTTTCGAATTTGAAGTGGTTATTATTATTTAGGTATCATATCTATTTTTATGTTTAATTACTAAATTTGGTTAACCTTTAAAGTGTACATCAACAAAAAATTATTGTCAGGCGATTAAAAAAATAACTATCATGTGTTACTAAGTAAATTCTCCCATAAGAATATTTAATAGATAATATGTTTGTCAATTTTTAAAATTTTTACTAAACATATATTTACTTATAAAAAATTTAACAAAGTAAGATTGAAACAATATTTAAGTAACAAAAAAATCAAAAAATCCGCCAAAATCGAACCAATCCAAACCGATATAGTTGGTTTGGTTTGCTTTGATAAAAATTGAACCAATCCGGTCCACGTACACCCCTAATATTACGTAGCACAAAACTTTTACACTATGTATTTTTAATTACTACTAACATGTAGATTATTATTCTCACTTTTTACGTACTCATGTGTATCTACTATCATCTTAGTGATTTGATATTTTTAAAATTTATTCGCAATGTCAGTGTATAGAAGTTAAAATATTTATATTAATGACCTTCCTCAGGTACAGAGGCGTATGTAGAATTAAAACTATGGGTTCAATTGAACCCATAACTTTCGATGCGGAGCATAAATTTATGTGTAAAATTCATGAAAATTATAATAAATAGCAAATATGAACTCATAACTTTAAAATATAATATATAATGATTTCAATCTTAGGAATCTTAAATTTTGAACATATAATGTTTAAATTCTGGATCCGTCTTTACCTAGGTATACCTTAGCATCATAATAAAATAAGCATCTTTTATTGTGTTAATTATTGAAAATAATTTTCTTAATCTTGTGATTGAAAAAGACTTTTTTCGAACGCAAGGGAGAAAGGAAAATAGTTTATTTTTCAACAATGGAATCGATGGATTTTTGGTCGAACAATGGAATCAATGTTGGATATACGGATATTCACATAGAGTCAACGTCTTGTACGCCGACATAAGTTTAGTGCTAAAATTTTCTTCACTAATTTAATTTACAAACGAATAAATTATTTAATTAGTGACACCATACTTAAATTTATTTTACCAATTATAAGTTGTTTGATTATAACATATCAACTTAGATGGTCCAAATGCTGTTGCTTACCTGGCTACGACGAGTCATATACGGATGAGTTGGAAAAAAGAATGCCACGGAGGATTGTTAGTATCCCACATCAGTAGTAGATGCAACGCGCCGGAAAATATAAAAGTGGTCGAAATTTGATTTGAATTAGATGGGTATGATCGAAATTTTGAGGAGAGCAGACTGTCCTGAAGAAACTTCGCCGAAAATGGCCGGAAAGTGGCCAGAGCCATCGCCGGAAAAGTTATTGTTGCCGGCGCGTGGATGAGCGTGGCGGCTTTTCTGCCGGATAAATTTTCAGGGGTTGGTCTTCGGAGGGTAATCTACCTCGTGGTGGTATTGGTTTTAGCACAACACCGACAGAAAGTGACTTTCACTTAGACAAGTCTTAGGTCACCGGAAAAAATTGCACGATGACTAAGTTCTTTCTTCCACCCTAGCCTAAACCTATTAGTCTTGCTAGCTTAACGTCTTTTTTTTCCTCATCCTACCGCTTGAAAATTCAGTTTTATAGTTGAGTTTCCCCTTTCTTCTGCAGATGCTGGAGTCCAGCGCATCGGGGCTGATAATTAGATAGAATCTCCTTAAATAAAGAAAGGAGGTGTATAAATTGGGTTTTTGGCTCGCAACAAAGCCGCGTCCGGAACTGATCTATTTACTCGGCAATTCATCCGGTGACTTCACGGTCGCCAAAGAGCCCCAAGAAGCATCAAACATTTCTGATGAGATCCATGGAGCCCAATATTTATTTCTTATCATGTCTTTTGTAATTTGTTTCTAAAGTTGAGAATTGCATTAGACTTGTGTTTGGACTACTACCACTATTAAGTTACTTATGATCATGTTTTTAATAAAATATTTATCAATATATTATTACTAGTGTTTTAAAGTATACTTTTGAACATTGTATAGATTTGCTAAACCTCTATTATTTGTTTAGTCAAAATAATAAATACTTAGCTGTGTATCTTTTTCTATTTCATCTTTAGAACTAACAATTTGTTTCAATTATGTAATCCTTTTTATTTTTTGGTGATCTGTAAAAATTTTGAGGGCAACTTGAATTATGTGGCTTGCACCCAGATAATGAGAAGATAACATATGAGAGGAAGAAGATGAAATAAAGACACAAGAAAGGAACTGTTGTATTCATTTGTTGAGCTGGAAATGAGTACAAATGCTATTTATATAGAGCTTATTGAATCTACTGATTTTCGCTACTAATTAACCGAGCTTAACAGTGCTAATCCCAACTAACCTAACTAAATAACTGATAATTGTTAAGGTTAGTATTTACATAATTGCCCTTAACTACTTAAGTCACAACTTTCTCAACACTCTCCGGTGGTGTGAAGATGATGAACACACCAGGCTTGGAACTTAGATACTCATGTTGAGCTTTGTTGAGGCCTTTAGTTAATATGTCCGCTGGTTAGTCCTTTGTTGAGGTATACTTTATAGCAATCATTCCTTGTAGAATTCTTTCTCGTATGAAATAACAGTCGATTTCAATATATTTGTTCGTTCATGATAGACTGGATTGGCTGCAATTTGCATAGCAGCTTTGCGATCACTGAAACATCTACCGGTAACTTGACTTCAATGTTAATCTCTTTCAGTAGACCTAGTAGCCAAATTAGTTCAGTTATTGTAGTTGCAATGCTCATGTATTCAGCTTCTACTAAACTTCTAAATACAATTGATTGTTTTTTTGATTTTCAGGAAACAAGTGAAAACCCCAAGTTTGACTAGATAACCTGATATAGATTTTCTAGCGTGAGGACATGCAGCCCAATCAACATCACAATAGGCTATGATGGTGTCTTTGTGACTGCTAGATAGTAATACTCCTTGCCCTGGTTGATTTTTCAGATATCTAACAATTCTGAGGGTTGCTTCCATATGGGACTTTTTTGGTCTTTGAAGAAATTGGCTCAATGTTTGAACATTGAATCATATATTAGGTCTTGTCATGGTTAGGTATAGTGGTTTATCTATTATCCTCTAATAAGCACTCTGATCTTTAAGCTCTTCATCTCCTGAAGCTGCAGATTGATTTCCATAGATATGTTCATCATATTCCTTGGTAGTTAACTTTATATTGGTGTCCAGAGGTTTTATGGCAGATTTGGCAGCATTGAGACCAGTTTCTGATATTAATTCTAATGCATAATTGTCACGACCCAAAACTAACCTCTGTCGTGATGGCACCTATCGTGGAGCTAGGGAAGTCGACTCATTTACAAAACAAACTGAAATTTTTATTTTAAAGATAATTTCAAGGCTATTTAACATAAAACCTCCATTTAAAGAGTTCAAATAAAAAATAAAATAAAAGTGCGAAAAAGAAAAGCCCGACATCGGGGTGTCACTAGTCATGAGCATATACTACAATCTGTCTAACAATATCAAGGCTAACTCAGCCCGGAAAATAGCTAAATACAACTAGAGGAAGATAAGAGGGAGAAGAGCAGGGGATGCGATCGCCAAACAGCTACCTTGCTATCTCCAAGAAAAATCTGCAACCAAAACACTCAATAACTGCTACCGTGTCCAGCTATACCTGAATCTGCACACAAGGTGCATGGAGTAACATGAGTACGCCAACTCAGTAAGTAACAATAATAAATAAAGACTGAGCAGTAGTAACGAGCAATAAAGCATATAACGTTCATATCAGAAAATCTCAGTAAAATACCACATGCT